GTCGGTGCGTCCCTGATTCTTCTGCAGAGACTTCATCCTTTCCCTCTGCTCCCCTAACAACCTTCACTCCTCTCAGGCTGTGCCACAGTGTGGAGCCGAGCCCACCTCGTCCCACACTGGAGCCCAAAGCATAAGAACAGCTTATCCAGGAAGAGGAGGGGGCGCTTACGTTTGTCCGGACCTGGGAGTGCGCACTTCCACAGAAGCCGTTAGAAGTTGTCCCTTTCTCATTCCAGAGAGGTGAGTCTGGTTCTGCCTTGAGTCCGGTGAGCGTCTGCCTCGTCCTGTCAGTGGGAGCCTTTGCCAGTGAGACCAGTAGATTTCAAAGGGCCTCCGTGTGCGAATGCAGAGTCCTCTTTGTCAGTTCTCTTTAAGAGGACACTTTTCTTTATTGAGTAATTACGTCTGGGAAACTGCCCCTTATTTTTGTCTTCACTGAAGTCGGAAAATGAGAATGGTGACTTTTCACGTCTCCCTCCCTGAAATCCTTCTTGCTTATCCTCCATTGGTCAAGGAAGATCACCTCCCTCCCAAAAACCTCACCTCCTGCCATCATTCTCCCTCTCCTCTCATCCCCCCTCCCCCCTTGTCTTTGCTACCTGAACTTTGCCCTCCCTCACAGTAAATCAATCTTCTTCTTTTTTCTTTTTATCTCTCTGTTCTGGGCTTCATTTTAACCGCGTCACAGTGAGGTGCACCGTCAACAAATCTGCCCAGGTCTCGTGCAGCAACACGTTGACTGTGTGAACTCTGCAGCGATAAGGACAACCCCAAATAAGGCCTGAGGGAATGGCACGCACATGAAACTAGCCGAACTGAATGTAACCAACTACACCCGCATCTTACTCGGCTTTGTTTACGTCAAAGCAGCTCATGATTCTGGCATGATTCAAGACCGAAGAGGACGGCGGCAGTTCTTGCCAGGGAATTAAAAAGTTATGATTTCTGTCGAGGAATAAATTATTTGCCACATTTAAATGGCACAGATCACACACATGGCACACTGGTGCATATGATTAGAGCTTTATTACTCAGCATTTCGAAGGCGGTTTGGCCTGTTGAAGCCTCCAGATGTTGAAGAGAAAGTGAACGCCATGCTAAGAATAAAAGAGTTATGTAAAAGCTTCAAGAAAAAAGGTTTCAGCAGCTTTTGGGGCAAGAAAAGGATTTAAAAAGGTCTCACAACAATTTTTCATTATGATCTTTTTTTTGTTGTTGTTGAATAGTCACTAATAAAACTTATGTTTTGTTTTTTTATTGTGTTAGTTGGATTTTTCATGACAAAACCAATACAGACGCACCACCATTCTCTGCAAAACGGCTCCCCTATTTCTGTTAATTGTCATTTATAAATTGTATTTCCTTTTATCAAATGGCTGGTAAAACTGAACTGCTGGGATTTATCTCTGTGCTTTAGTCACAGGTTTATAAACAATATAAAATAATAATTTGTTTTTTATGGGGGAGGCGGGAACTGAAATCAAATCAAATTCTCTCCTACATTGACAATAGGGTGAGAAATTAGAGAAACACAATGTGCACAAGTTTAATGCAACATCAACAATGGTTTTACATTAAACGATAAACATAAGCACACAGAACTCATGATATCACTTTCTTCAATAACATGATGCTGAAAACCAAAGAAAAAATTCTGAGTACTTAGCTTATTTCTGAATTTTCTGTGGACACGGAGAAGATGCAGAAAATAATCCTGGCACCCGGCAGACTGTTTCATAATAACATGTTTTAAATTTAGGGGTAAGAAACGAGCAGTTTCAACTTCTTAGACATATGTGTTTGCAGCAAAATTAGGCATTCTCAGTTTCAACCTTTAAAATGTCTTAGCTCATTTTCAGCGTTTAGCAAATTATTTTACCAGACGTCCTGTGGCAATAACATAAACCCATTTCTCTAAAACATCTTCTCAATGTATTTTTATCTTGCCAGTGAAAGTCTTCAGTATCATGCGAGTCTGGACAGGAAGTCAAGTACTCCCCGGATTGGCTGCTGTGTCAGTCAAAGACAATCAGGTACACACACACCAACAAACGCACACACCCACAGATAGTAGGTCTGTCTGTCTTCACAAGGACTTTGCATTAGTCCAGGAAAAAACAGCCACTTTGCTTTTTACAGAGGGTCTGCGTTATTAACTTTGTATTGACTTCAATTCATTTTTCATTCAGTTCAGTAACCTGACCTTTACCCTAAGCCATTCCTAGTACTTGCTTAACCCCAGACCTAAACCTACCCCGTAATCCCAAAACTCCCTTTCAATGTGTCCATCACCTTTGAAATAAACCCAAACTGACAGACAGGACACGTTAATTTAAAAAAAGAGAGATATCTTGTTGAGTTCAGCTAGCAATATGAAATATGCTCTCTACAATAATAAATATAGAAACTTTGATGTTGAAAAGTATCTTTGTGCTTGAGTTTGAAAGACTCATTTTAGTCTTGACTGGTTTAGCTCAGATCAGTTATCTCCTTTTCCTGCAGTAAATACTGAGACATTTATTTTGAGGAGTATATTTAGACCAAAATAAAGCTTCTTTTTTTTTCATATGAAATCTCCTTTTGCAGTGTTATGCTCTTGGTATATTATCAAACTTACTACAAATTTTCCAGACAGCCTGAACAAAGCACAAGCCAGCAGCATCAATTTCTCCTTATTAAACCCTCCCACACATCAGGTCAGACCTCCTTGTCCTACATGAGCGACTTCATCTCCGCTTCCTTCCTGCTTCCTCTCATTCACCTGATTCCTTTTGGATGCTTTCAGAAAGCACAGCATGAAGAGGATCTGTCGTCAGTCACACAGATGGAAATAATATAGCCCCAAGAGTCTGAGCGATTCACTGCTAAGACCGGCCCCAGAGAGACTGCCAACAGTCTAATATTAGCTGAGCACATGTCTGTCCATACAATCAGTCACTAAGCTGGCTAAACTTAGTTCACTTTGTCCCAAGCCTCCTTTTTAAAGTTTGCTCCGCATCTGACTTCTGCTGGGCGTCTGGGGAGAAGAAAGGCAGCCTTTTAAAGTGATGAGTGAAAGTCTCTGAGAAGAATTTAAAGGACAAAGAAAACAAAGCTCAAGACCCTAAAAAGGAAATCTGATGACTTTCATTAGGTGTGCCCCAGAATAAAATGGCCTCTAACAGATACAAATGTTCTGTGATTATTTTCTAAGTTTTCTAAGTTACACAGCTAAAGCTTTTGTGCTCTGGGATCAACAAACACAGTGTGTGCAGAATGAGCAATGCTGCCCTCATCTGGTTGGTCAGCTTGCCTGTTCTGGCACGTCTAAAAGGTTCTCCATGGAGGAAAAACATCCCAAACTCCCCACCCTGCTGTGCCAAACAGACTCCCCTGATATTTCCTGTCAATTTTATTTCTGTTTTGGTCCCTCAGGCTGTAATCTTTGCCCCCAATAGACGTCCCTGCTTTTCACTCTTCCTGAGTTTCATTTCAGCAAGGACCCAGCTGAGGCTCTTGTGTCTAAACATAGATCATCATTTTTGAGTAATGGATCAGGTTGGTATGATATTGTGGAAACAATCCCTCAGTTTGCAGCCAATAGATAGCGTTCTGGGTAAAAATATAAATAAATAAAATTGTATGCAGCTTTCCAAGCTTAGAGAACTTAGTTTGTGTCACCACTGGATGGCTGTGATCAAAAATACTCAACAACTACTATATGAACTATATGAGGCAATGTGTTATTTTTTTTAGCAAGATGCATTGCAAAGATGAATTTATATTTCTGAAAATTCAGCAAACAAACAAGGGATCTGAAATATTTTGACAAGTCAACATATGTCAATGGATGCTTGTCCACTAAAGTATCACATGCTAAAGATCTGCATTAGCATTTAGATCTGATGACTGTGCAGGCCACTGAAGTGCATTGAACCCAAGAAACTTGTTTGGGATGATTTGAGATTTGCTCTATTATGCTGGAAATGTACATGAGAACATGGATACTTTGTGGTCATGAAGGGATGTACATGGTCAGGATAGCAGTGAGGTAAGACACACTAACACTCCACCCCCACCATGTGAACCGTCAATACATCGCAGGATGGAGCCATGCTTTCATGTTTGCATCAACTTCTGACTCCATCTGAAATCAAAACTCGTCAAACCATCCGCTGTCTGTCCCTGCTTTATCCTTGTAGGGTTGTCACGGAGTGACACTAACGCTTATCTCCAGCAGTCAATTGGGTGACTCAAACCAGGTGATGTATTTCTAAATTGTTGCTGCCTAATATTTAGAGGCCCACCTTCAAATGTAGCTTCAGTTTCCTTTTCTAATCCAACAAGCGTTGCAGCCACTGTCGTCTTTTAAAGCTGCAGCTCATCTACATCGAGGTTAAATACAGTGTTCTAGCTATGAGCTGATGTTGCTTTTCGATCATCTTTCGACCTTTTTCTTTTTCCCTGACAAGCAACTGAAAAGGTGCACTTAATAAATTGGCCCGTGAGCGTATTTTGTAAAAAAAAACGGGCTCATGCACAAGCATTGCATTCTCTAGTTTGATCAGGAGGGGGCAGTCACATTCCCTCAAACAGAGCATTGGGTAACACAGACTATAACATACACAAGCAGTCTAGTTTGGCCTTGTTCCCTTTCAATATAAGGCTTAATCTTTCTACATGACCTTTGGGACAAAGAGTGATTGATGCTATGAATAAACTTGTTACTGCAACATTCAGTCCACATAACACTAATCCTTTTAAAAGCACAAAAGGAAAGATTAAGTTAAATAATTGTTTTAAAATGTATAAATATCACAGAAAGCTGCGAAGGTTTCCCTTCATGTAAGGATCTGGACTCTGCAGTGTGCACACAGACTGCATCATCCCTGATGTGGGAGCATTTACCACTGACGCCCTCTGGCTGACTAACTTTTTGTTGCCCCATCAAATTATTTTTATCAGAAAATAGTTTTTTTTCTCCTAGTTCACTGAATAAACCTGTATTTTCTATTCGGCAGTTGTTTTATTTTTTATTTTTTTTACAGACTCATAGCCTTAATGATTCAGTCAGAACACTTTTTTTTTTTTTTTTGGAAAAAAAGAAAGGTTTTCTGTCACACAACAGACGGGCAGCTCAGAGCTGTGGACGGGCAGAGTGTGTGAGAGAGTCAAGAAGATGAGAGAAAGAGCAGAATAACTCAACAAACTGATAGCAGGGGGAGCAAGGTTGGCTTCTGTCTGTTTCTTTCTCTTAATCCGCAAATCTTCTGTAATCAGGATGAGAGGGAGAGAGCACGTTGCCTGACTTAGGACAGCGGAGTCTATGTTGGGACCGGGCTGATGAGGCAACCTAAGTGGCCGGCAGGAGAAATGGAGGGAGGGAGGAGGCAGAAGTTGTGTTCTGGTTGGGGAACGTAACCTTAACCAGTCACTGCTGTGCACAAACCACAAGAGTGGACAGAAGATGGTTTAACACCCGAGGAAAAAAAGATAAAAATCTACAACAAAAGAAGAAGAAGAGGACTGAACCATGGCTGGAATACTTTGGGTGAGATCTTAATTTTTTTTTTTTTGTCTTATACAGTTTTAATTCTTGTTTGGTTTATGCAGTATTTTGCATTTTGAAAGCGACTGAGGAATCTCCTGTTTATTAAGATGCAGAGGCACAAGTTTGGTCCGATTGTGTTGTTCTGCAGGAAGTCGAGTCAGAGTTGAAGTACATCAATAATTTTCATGAACTTACGCTCGTGAAAACTGGATGCTGAGAAGCTCTACTTAGGCTGAGTCATGGTCTTTATAAGCCAGCAGTTGAAATGCAAGTTTATTCATGGATGAACCATTGACTTATGGGGACTTTACTTGTCTTGTCTTTTCTTCAGAATACTCCAAATTGGAATTGATCACACATACAAACAAAAGCAAGACTCACAATGCCTTGTTCTGCAGAGCTGTGTGATTCTGTTAAGAGACAATGACACATGCTGTTACTAAACTGGCCTCCCATTGCTTCCAGCTCCATATGGCCTTTCTCATCCCAGTCCCCTCATCCCACTCTGCCTTCATTCACATTGGTTTCACGGGCAAAATGTCCTCAGGCCTACATTATTCTTTCCATTCATGCTTCAGTTAATGTCTAAGAACAGAAACCAAGTGATTTGTTTGTCCTTGCTGTATAGAAAATAATCAGATATGCATTTCATGCTATGTTCGGCGTAAATCAGAGACTTACAGATCAGCCGCTGTGACAGGAGGGCTAAGGTGAGGTAAAGCTCCTCATCCTCTTTAGCCATCATATCTTCAGGTCAACAGATCTATTTAACATAGTAGGTGTGAGTCTTACGGTGTGAGATGTCTATTCTTAGTACGGCACATCAACATCAAACACCAGGCAAGAGGAAGAAGAATGATTACTATTATTTGACGACATCAGCGACACTTGAGATGTGCAGAAATTGTTTTCCTTCATGTAAGAACTCATATTTTTAATCTTTACTGCCATCTATCATTTCTTAGCATTTTATTGGTTATAATTATGAAGTAGGACAATTTTATTTACACTCCAGAACTTCCTTGTCATATCTATTGGTGCATTTCCACTCGAGGAGCGCACATTTTTTTTTCTGCAAACCAAAAGCAGATAGACGTCTGTCCTGAAAGCAACTTTTCTAGGGAAACATGACTTTTAGCATTTCTTACTAGTTGAATTTCCACAGCATTTCGCTTCTGTTTTGTCCTAGTTTATTCTGATCTGCTGGTCATGCTTTTCTGATCAACTATGCGATTTTTGTATTTTTGCTTCCAAAAATACAATTTTAACCCAGCCACCCATGCTCCCCCCCCTCATTTCCTACATTGACAGGGAATGAGAAGGAAGCATATGCTGCATGAAGTCCTACATTTGTCAATATCTAGTCTGAAAAACAGTTAGAAAAACTGTGAAAATGAGCCAAACAGAGGGCATGGAAACAAGCTCCCTTTAGAGGGACTTTTTTTATTATTATTATTATTTAAGACTTTTCAAATATCTTTGTCTTTTCTCCTGGGTTGGGAATTCGGTACAAAAAGCTACGGCAGCTCCAATTAATCCTTTTTTACGGTTCTCTGTGGCATTATCTAAACTCAAAAATGAAAAAAGATGTGACCAAAACAAAAAAAAAACATATTAAAACAACAAGATATAGTCATGCACTTCCTTTTGGGAGTCAAGCTGTTTGATAAAAACGTCTTACATCGGTGTTGTAATTGTACATGCCATACAACAGTTGTGTATTTAGTTTTTGCAAAGAAAATTTCCTCTTATGGGCATGAAGTCATACTGTAGCTACCTCATGTCTTTTTTGTGGTTGTGGTTGTGGTGAGAAAAAAAAAATCCAGCTCATGTAAAATTTTCTTTAAGGTATGGCTGATGTGCAGCGGGCCTGATCTCAAGGCGTAATCCCCGACTGAAGGGGCCAAGATGGCAGCTGCAGCCGACGACCCACACCTGGGTCCGGGCCCATCGAGTGACGAAGAGATCCTCCTGGACGACTCCGACTCAGGCAGCATACTCTCTGACGACTCGGTGCTTCCCGACTACGACCGAGATACGGTCTACAGGGAGCCGCCGAAAACGCTGTACGAGGCCTGCGCCAGGAACGACCCCTTATCCCTGAGCAGCATCCTGGAGAGAGGGGTCACCAAGGAGGAGGCCATGGAGCTGGACATCAATGGCAGGGTGAGTAAGCAAGCAAGCAAGCGACAAAGAAATTATGTATTACTTTAGCGTACAATTTTTGATTTATGTTTTCTCTGCACCAGAATGGACTGATGCTGGCTGTGTCCAAGGGTTTTGTAGACATTGTCACCCTCCTGCACAAATGTCCATTCATAGACATCAACCACCAAGACAATGATGGCAACACTGCTCTCATGATAGCTGCACAGGCCGGTACGTGTGAAAATCCCAGCCACACACGATTAACCCGAGGCGGCTTCGATCCTGTTGAGAATGCAAACGAAATCATCCTTTTTGTCTCTCACCTCAGGATTCATCACCATCCTCAACTACATCCTGAACTACTATCCTGGTGTGGAGACTGAGCTCAGGGACCCCCGTGGCTTCACGGCCCTCATCAAGGCAGGCCTGCAGGGGCGAGAGGACTGTGTGACCGCCCTGCTGATGCACGGTGAGTTTAGCAATGCGTTACCTGATTTAGACTCTAACGACGAGTGCGGCCTAAAAAGGACGAGCCGAGAGCACACGGAAAGACAAAATTAACTTTAAATTGATTGTACAAAAACAAAACAAAAAATAAATGATAGTAGGAGGCTCAAAATGTTCACTCTGCAATAAAAAACGGCTAAGATTAAAATGCTGTGTTTCATGGGAGACACAGGTCAAACCAGTTTACCTGATCTGGGAACTAATCTGCACCCTCTGCAGGCTGCAGGGATTAGATTAGTCTGACCTGTATGGACACATTTAGAGTAGGACAATAATATATTTCCATTCGCATTCCATTTAAGATGACAGTGTCTGAAAAGTTTAGAAAGAAAATATTATTCCACAGAAATGCAAATCAAATCCAAGACTATTTTAATTCCTGATCAGTCACATCACGGATCAGCTCACTTAAAAAAAAAAAATAATCCTTTGACTGTTTTCATGTGTAACATTAAGTTAAATTAACTGTATGACAACCATTGAAATCCACTAACCTCAATTAATGCATATCATTGTTCTAGTCTGCAAACAATAACAAAAGTATTCATACCACTTTGACTTTTTCATATTTTTTTTTTCATATTACAACATCTTTATTGGTATTTTATGTGACAGGCCAATTCAACAAAACACCGCGGAAGGGAGATTGTTTTAGTATACTTTTTAACTGAAAATCTGAAAGTTGTGGTGTGCCATTTATTCTGATGCCCATCAGCAAAATCCAGTGCAACAATTTTCTAGCTGTCATGCAACATGATAAATGGAGCAGCCCTGGAGGAAACCCTTTAAACATAATGCCAGAGCAATACTGGAATGCTTCTGGATCTACGTTATCATTCACATATGCTCTCAGTTCAGTCCAACTGAACTTGAACCGTTTGAGAGTAAAAAAAAAAAGACGACAAGTCAGACGACGGGTAAATCTGGTAGAGAAATAATCCATGACTTGCATCAGTGATCAAACCAAAGTGCTGCTCTGCAAAGTACTGACTCGAGGAAGACTGAATGCAAATGGACACTGCATCTTTTGAAGTTTTAAAAAAGTAAAACTACTACTTGATCCAGTTTGAGATATAAACTGAGAAATTACGACAAAGCTTAAGAGGCTGTGACTCATTTTTCAACCCGTTGTATACAAACTTCCCCCACACAGTGAAATGACCTGATTTGTTCCAAGTGAAGTTATGCCACACAGCATTTTGCACGACTAAAACAACCACATGGTGGTGTTGTTATACTGATGAAAGCTGTTTAGTTTCAGTACATCCTGTAGACCCGTTTTCATGTTGCTGTTTTAACAGCTTTCCGTTGTTTTCCATCCTTTTTGTTGCACAGGTGCAGACATGCATGCTGTGGACCTGGTCCAAGGCAGAGGGCTTAAGGACTGGATCCTTCGGACAGGACGGTTTGAGACACTGAACAGGATACGGCGCCTGCAGGCTCACCCTGTTGCCGGGCAGTTCTGTGAAAGCTACAAACCCGAGTGGCCTGAACTGAAACAGCTGGTGGAAAAGGCCACTGCCCCAAAGTCAACCAGTCAGAAGTTGAGACAGCGCTTCAAAGAAAGCCTTTCCTTCAGCTTCCCTCATGACCCCGAAGAGAACGGGGTTATGGATCATATGGTTCGGATAACTACGAGCATTCACAGCCCGCTGGTAGTTACCGGTTCCCGGCCGCTTTGCCCCACTAGTCCCCCTGAGATCGGCAAGAGACGGTACGCCGTACCAGAACTGCTTGAAAAGCACAGCAGCAAGGAGCTGGAGGAGAGCACTGTGTCCCACAGCAACGGATCCATCACCTCAGCGTCTCCAACAGCTTTGTCCGCCACCTCTGTCTCTCTGACATCCTGCTGCCAGGAGGCAGAGCGCAGGGAGAGCGTGCCATCAGGCGGCATGAGAAGTTTCATCCCTCGCAGCATGGCACACAGGAACAGCATATTCCCCTCGGGCTGCATTCCTAAGATCGAAGTGACAAAGTCTGGGGAGCCCACACCAAAAAAGGAGAAAAAGAAGAAGAGGCAGAAGGGCTACCTGGAGCCGCCCATCTGGAAGTACAAGGAGGCCAAGGAGGAGAAAAAGAGAGAGAAGAAAAGACTAGAGCAGGAGAAAGAAGACGAGAAACAATCCAAGGGGTCCAAAAAATCCTCCAGCAAACGCTGAGTCAGCCAGATAAAATTTCACTGTGATATGGCCACGCACAAAATAAATAAAACAGTGAGATAACGGTGACTCTGATTTCTGTAACATGAGAGAAAGTCGGTGCTAAACAACTTTGGGAGCGAGCATCTGACAAATACCATGAATGGATTTGAACTTTGGCTCCAACAGAAACTGTGATCCACTTGAAGGTCAGGATATTTCTAAACAATTTTTGACATCTTGGACACAAAATTATGTTATTCCTAATGACATTTGGATTTAAACATCATTAGACTTTCTACATCTCAAGCCTGGTGAATCGGAGTCTTTTGCTTTTGCACTGCTGTGTGTGTGCTTGAGCTGCAGTTTTAAAGACGCTTCTTTTTTCTTGGGGATCTTACCAATGTATGCTTGGTGAAAAGCTTTATGGTAACTGAATACAAAATAAAGAGCCAATAGCCTGTACTGTGAATGAGACATCTATGATCAAATGCCTTCTGAAAAATTTCATCAGCATCATCGTTAAATTAAAATAAGTTGTTATATCCAAAGGACCTAAAAGAGACAAAACAAGGTGCCAACAACAGTTGTGTGACTACAGAGGAACAAAAGGAAGATGACGCCTTGCTCTGATGAATCACCTCTTAATTTCCATCATGTGGATGGCTTACGTAAGGAACTTATGTGTGGTGGTTTGGGGAATGTTCTGGTGTTCCCCACCAACCATTCATCCATCCACTTAACAACTGTCACAGACCGTGTACAGAAAAGCACAACAAGATGAGGTGTTGACTTCAAATTGTCCATGGAGCCCGCGCCTCACAACGTGTACTGTCTACTAATAACAATGTGGTACCACAACACACCTTCAGGGGTCCATGCCCCAGTGAGCTATATTAGGACCAACACACACATTAAGCTGGCGTTCATATTGTTATTCCTGACTGATGTTTGTTTCCTAATTGCCCACCCGGTTCCCACCTCTCCTGAAAACATGTAGCATCTACCAAATGTCTTTATGGCTTTTTCACGTTTCCGACACGCCAAAACATTTTTGAACCTCATTACATTACAGACATTTACAACTGAAAGTGCTAAGTCAGCACGCTTGTCTTGTGGTGAATGAAGGACTTATGGTACATTTGCAAGTCGTCGGTCTGCAACAAGGTTTTGTGTTTTGTTAGACAAAGTCAACAGAACATTCTTTGCTTCTTGATAAAAGAAGAACCCATGGAGCCTCTGAGAGGAACTGCCTGCACCAAATGTTACTCAGGGTTATTAAATGATGGACTTTTCACAATCGGATTGTTTTTGGAAACTAGGAAAAAAGTGTTAATATTATATTTTTGTATTCAGTTTGCTGACTAAAGTAACACAGTTATTAATGCAAATTAATCCAAAAACATATCCAGTTGTAACAGGTTATATCTGTATACGACATCAATCTAATTAGGCAATCTCTTCTTTGATAGAGAGTTTGAAGACTCCTTTAAAAACAAAATACTTTGAGCACTCAGGTTTTTTGTGGCATATTAAAGGTGTGGAATCAATGTCGAGTGTTTGTAATGCAAGCTTGTAATACATTTTCTTGACCTTTGCAACACAGAGTGAGTTATTTTAAGGCATCATGTTTGATGTGGCATAGTCATATTTAATTATTCTTCTCCATAAATCAGTCAGCCTCCTAATCTTTCAAAGAAATTAATCTGAAAGATGATCTGTCTATTATTATGCAGGTTTACACAATCAGGTAAGAATAATGATATTTCAGTAATTTTCTCAGGATTAGGATTTATTTAGCTAAAATCAATGATTTAATAGAGCAAAGAACCAAACAAATGTATACATAACATAAGATACAAAAACAAACTAAAAACACATTTATAGGAAACATATCTCAATTTTTATATATGTCCTATTGGCCAAATCTGGTTGGTGGGTCCCAAGGTTTGTTTGTTTTGTTTTTTTTTATTTCCCAGAGCACAGCAATGCAGCAGCATGCACTTCCTGGAGAGGAGCTGCCATGAGGGACTGATCAACCAATTGGAAGCTGAGTTTAGCTAACATTAACCTGTCATTCACAGGTTGTCATTCACAATGACAGGGGTGTCAAACTCCAGTCCTCAAGGGCCGCTGTCCTGCAGTGTTTAGATGTGCCACAGGTAAAAAACAGTGGAATGAAATGGCTTAATTACCTCCTCCCTGTGTAGATCGGTTCTCCTGAGCCTTGCTAATGACCTAATTATTCTTTTCAGGTGTGGTGCAGCAGAGGCACATCTAAAAGTTGCAGGACAGCGGCCCTTGAGGACTGGAGTTTGGGTCCTCTCGTGAATGACAGGTTAAAGCTAAATAAATCACCATATGACTGCAAAAGAAAAGCAGATTCAACTATTTATTTCTAAAACTAATTATTTGGACTCAGGGAGACCTCTTTGACTTCCAAAATGTTAACACGCTATTACTTTAGACATAAAATCCTATGAATCAGCTGCACATACAAGCATTTCAAACTTAATAATTTCGTCAACTAAAAGGCAGATTCACAAACAGGTTTTGGCACCATCAGAATCAATATTGCTAAAAATATTTTACTTAACAAGGTCATATATGCTTCTCGTAATTTTGAAATGCTCAGCTGCCACGCTTCCACTGGGACATTTTGAAGGGAATTGTAGGTCAAAGGGTATGTTATGTGGTAATAACATATGAAAAACATTAGAAAGATTTGCAACTGCTGTAAAAATCTTGCATTTATGCCTTTATCCAGATATGTGGAAAAACTAGAAATAAGGTATTTTCTACTGCAGAAGACACGTGACTGAGTAGTCTTGTAACCTTATTTACTCTTCTTTGAGCTACTTAAGACTCTGCTGTGGCATGGGGTGGCTTTTGAACTCTGGTTGCCAGTAATCTTTTAATCCACACAAGATTATCATTACACAACAATTACCTTTTATAGTGATAAAATGTGATCAAAGGCAACCTCTTTTGCTTAAGCACATTTTGAGCTTGTCATGACTTAAGTGACGCTATATTTCACAATAAAGCTTCTTGTGTGAGAAGAGCTCACAGTGGCCGTTGGAAAAGGAGAAGCAAAACGTGTATTTTTTCTGGTATGGTGTAAAACATTGTCTTATTTTATTTTCAGAGCTGCAGCTCACTTCCTTTCACGAGAGGGGAACTTGATGACCTTGGGTCAATCCTAAAATAAATTCCTCGCTAGAGTTAAGAAGGAAAAACATCTTAGTCGAACAATTTCTCAAGTTAAGATTCAAACCTGTTCATGCATATAGAAGTGACCTAAATATCTTGAAATTTTCACCTTGGTGAAGAAGACATGTCAGCATTTAAGTGAACTGCTTATTGCTGAAATACAAACTGTTTAATTTTTGATTTTTTTTTTCCTTTGGACTGAAATGTTATTTTATTTACTCCAAGGAGTTGTGCTACAAATGGAAACCATCAAGATTACATGGCTCTTCAAATTACAGAGATTAATGGTTTAAGAAAAATAAGTCCCAAAAGTGCAAAGAACAATTTGCTCATTTTGCAACTTGACAACCGATGTGAAAGCTTCCAGCTGGTGTCTGCAGCCGTGAGCCAAACGTGAGACAAAACAGAGCCTGTGAACAGGGAGGGAAATTTGTATTACACGAAGACATCTGCACAAGGCTGTTTTAAGTGAAATGCCCCACACTGAACTCCCTTTGGCATTTGTCTTCATGATAGGCATTAGCCGCCACAATCGCTAAACGCACGCAATAAAGTAAGTCAATTTAGCATCATCATGTCTTCCCACAGTTGCTATGCGTGCACATTTTTTCTCGTGTTTTGGTAGGCTTTTATTTTACATCAAATGCATGTAATTGATTTTATATGTGCATTTGTAAATTATGTCGAATGATGAGCTGTACACAGAAAGAGTAGAAAACAAGAACTGGGATGAACCAAGGGAGGACCGGTTGTTATTTTTGCACTTACTGAAGTTGTTTCATGTGGCATATCCAGAGTGATGAGTTTTTGTGTACATAAGTTAAGAAAAGTTTAATTAGATCTGACTTTTCTTTCTTCCAACTACCTGAGCGATAGATCTCTGCAGCTCCTATCGTGGGCCTCTTGACTGCTTCTCTGATTAATCCTCTCCTTGTACAGCCTGTCAGTTTAGGCTGACGGCCATATCTCAGAAGATTTACAGTTGCGGTAAGGACCTTTTATCTTCAGGTGATGGGTTGAGAAGTGCTCTGTGAGATGTTCAAAGCCTCGGATCTTGTCACATAAGCAAGCTGCTTTAAATTCCTCCACAGTTTTATCCCTGGATCGCTTGTGTTTTTGTTTTACTCTGGTTTTTTTTGGTTTTTTTGTTCAGGTCTTCATGTCGCTGTTTGTTCATTAGTGTTCTCCAATGAACAACTGAGACGCTCACAAAAACAGAAGCTCCACCCTGAAGCGGTGGGTCACATAAAACCACAAATAGTGGGCACCGCAGATCGTCCACTTTCTACAGAGTCAATACAGCTAGAGACCTTGTGGTCTTCAGGCTAGCTCAGGAACAATGCATGCATATTTCCAGAGAAAATAACTATGCAACTAAGTGGTAAATGACTTGAACTACATCAAAGCCTGGCATCGCTTAGTGCAGTGCAAACCGCTGCATGAAGTGGTGTGGAGCACGCAGACACTTCTCTGCTTGGAGATCCAATGGATGAGTCTGTTGATGATTGCCAAAGAGAATAACACTTACTTACCTGACTGCAATATGTTGAAGTTAAAGTTAGGGTCTTCTGCAGGTTTTTATTTTTTATTTTTTCAAAAGATGGGGTTGCTCCTTTGGTTTCAGAGAAAGAACTTCTTAATTTATGGCATTTGTGTTCGAGGGCATGTGTTTGATTTTTGAATGCAAGCCGGGGCAGTTGCCCACTGGACAATTTGGGTATAGGAAGTTCAGACAACAATTCTGAGTGCTACACTGTCGGACAGGACATGATGAATAGCTTAATGCTTCGGCCCACCAAGAAATTTTGGACAATCCCATTCTTCCAATTTTCTGGGAACAGTTCTTGGGCAATGGTCCCTTCCCATTTCAACATGCTGGCGCAAGAGCTACAAAGACAAGGATGAGTGAGTTTTATGTGGAATAATTTGAAAAGTCTTGACACTTCTTCTGATGAAAAAACTCCAAGCCAGGCTTCTCGTCCAACATCAGTGTCAGATCTCGAGAAATATGGACCAACAATAACATCAAAAATCCTATAAAAACAATCTTAATCCTTTTGGAAGTGTTTCCAGGACTGTTAGGTTAGGGTGGGATTATAGTAAACCCTATGGATTAAGAAGAGGTGTCATTCATGAAAATATGTGTGTGAAGGCACACAAATGATTACTTTTGGCAATATGTGAAATAATTTATTTTGTGGAGTCTGCACTGATCTTGCATTGAAAATGATATCACTTCTGGGTACAGAAGCAATCAATTCCAGCCAGAAATCTGCAAGGACTACTATACTTTATTTTTCTCAAATGGAAAATACTTGCTTCCAGATCCTGTTTTACATCCATTAAATATGTCCTTGTTTTTTTGTTTGTTTGTTGTTTTTTTTTGCTTGCCATAACCGCAAGCAGGTTATGGCTCACACACAATAAACGCTACTTTAACCATTTCTAACACTGAGGGTGGAAATCGGTCCGGACAGTCTCTGCTTGGTGCAACTCTTTGACGCACATTCCTGTCAGGGCAGCAAAAACACAAGTCCACAGGGGGAAAGGAAAATGAGAGGTTTAGCAAGCAACAGGAAAACCGCTAAGAGAACACATTCCAGGCGCGCAGAGTCTGGACGGAACAATAAGGGGTGGGACGACAACTCTATGCCTACAACTATTTAAAAATCTCTAATCTCGCCTTTTAATCGGGAACACGGACGGCGGCTGAAGAATTCTTACTTAATGGGAACCGAGTCCCCTCCGCCGTCTCTTGTGAAGCCAGTCGAAGCGGAAGGAGTCTGGTCCGAAACCCCACGACGATGTTCCTGTTGTGGGTTTTATCAGCGCAGATTTGGACCCAGATGAGATAGGCTTCATTCAGCTCGCTGTGGACTCAGACAACCCGCTCTGAGGTCCTCTTCTTGCTTTTCCCCCCTCCTCACCTCGCCCCCTTTTTGAAACACTACTTTCATCTTTCCGCGTGCGTGCGCTGAAGTGACGCGGCTTTAAGTTTGAAACCGCTCTCTGGTTTACCAGAAGCGTTTTTCTGCTTTCACGAAGCCGCGGCTGGTTTTGTCGTCGAAGCAGCGGAGAGGATGTGAGATCTCTCCGGATGAAACATCTGCAGCTGGGCCTTCCAACTCTTAACTGGTTTATTTCAGTCTCTCACAATGAGGCCAGGTTTACCTCCTGCGCGGGTTTAAACTCTTATTCGTCCTGTTTGTGATATGGGCTACGTCTGGCGGCTCCATCTGACAAGTTAAAAGGGGAGCAGGAAACAGGTAATAAACACATTTTGACTTTCTTTTAACTCTTCCCTCATAACCGAATTAGTGCTGATAGGTAACAACACAAAGTAATTTGCCTTAAGTCACTTTTCGAAGCTGGTCACATGTTAACAGAT